TGATGGAAATCCATGGCAAATGTAAAAACTCAATCATACAACATGTTTCGATAACAAAGTAGCTTCATCAGGTGAACAGCAGATTAGTTCATTGTACCAGTATTTCACCTGATGAAGCTACTGTGTTAGTGAAACATGTCATGTGATTGAGAATTTTGTGGAAATCCTATAATCTGTGGAGTTTTTACTTTAGGAAAGATTTAATTGTTTGTTTGTTTATATTGAATAGGCTCCGAAACTACTGGACCGATTTGAAAAATTATTTCACCATTACTAGCCGCCATTATTCTTGATAAACATGGGCTACTTTTTACCGCAGGAAAATGCTTCATTCCTACGGGAAAACGGGTAATAGGTCAACGGGTAGTAAGAATTATTATCCTTTGGTACTTTTTCACCTAACTTCTAAACGGCTGAACTGATTGAGTTGAAATTGTAAATAGGTATTTGGTTTCCTGGATGATTTGAAGGTACAATTGGCCTCGGTAGGTGGCGCTGCTATCGGTACGTCAACTACAAAACTGCTTGACCAATTGGGTTGAAATTTTCAATATGTAAAACAATAATGATATGAGAGAATGAAAATAGGTGTAAGTACAGTTCTCAACACACCAAATGGACCACTCATAATTTGACTCTATTTCGAAGACCTGTATTTTTTTAAAAAATTGACCGATCTTCATGCGGTTTTCGATATCAGATGTGATGTTTCATCGGCTTCAAAGAGAGCTAGAACAATCTGAAAAAGTCCGCAAAACAAAACTTACACAGGGTGTAAAGTGGAACCATTACACTATGGTCTACATTTCCGATGCTGCCAGAACTCGAGAAATTTCTTTCTGATCAAAAGTCAGTCATATTATGATACACTGGGACCTCATCTCGGGACGTTTTCGTGATTTCTTCTAAATTGGCCATTGGAACAAAAATTCGATTTTTTTTCGAAAGTCTTGCATTTCTGGATTTTTTTCTCTAGAACTCCACTTGAGCTGACTATTGAGAAGAACTATTCTCATGTTTTATGGAGGATAATGGAAGACGCAAAAAGCACTTTTTTGGAATATACTGGATGATCAGAAAATAGGACAAAATCTCATTTCAGTGAAAAAAATCAAAAATGGTGACTAAAACTATGGCTCATTCGATCCAGTATATTCAGAAACGGCCTTCTCGATATCCATTATTTATATTAGACTACTAACTCGAGATGTTTTCGAAAATTCGCCTCTAAATGAAATACAGGATGACATTTTTCAATTCAAACTTGTTTCCTGATATCGATGATTTTCAATATTTATTGCCCAAGTATGAGAAACGGAGGATTGTTGTTCAATATACTGAGTGTTTTACAACTTATCTGACAAATTTCAACCACAACTTACATAAGAAGTCTATCACAAAAAAATTCAATAGAAGTGAAACGAGATGGAAAATAAAATTTGTAACACTTTATATCAACTAAAACTATTCGAAAAGGGTGATAAGAAAATAGGACAATACAGGGTGAAAATGTTCAATTCAAACTTGTTTCCTGATATCGATGATTTTCAATATTTATTGCCCAAGTATGAGAAACGGAGGATTGTTGTTCAATATACTGAGTGTTTTACAACTCATCTGACAAATTTCAACCACAACTTACATAAGAAGTCTATCACAAAAAAATTCAATAGAAGTGAAACGAGATGGAAAATAAAATTTGTAACACTTTATATCAACTAAAACTATTCGAAAAGGGTGATAAGAAAATAGGACAATACAGGGTGAAAATGTTCAATTCAAACTTGTTTCCTGATATCGATGATTCTCATCATTTTATCAACGGATTTCCAATATCAATTGCCCAAGTATGAGGCACAGAGCATTGTTGTTCAATAAACTGAGTGTTCCACAACTTATCTGACAAATTACGAACTCTAGAAAATAATAATGTTAGAAGAATGTGGTGACCAGCATTATCTCCAGATCTGAATTTGATTGAACATGTGTGCAGCCGAATGAAACTTAACCTATCGAGAAGGTGAGGCACCCCAAAATAATGACAACCTTATCCAGAATGGGCGGCAATATCAAAAGACTTCATCAACAACCTCATAGAATCTATGCCAAACCGATTTCATGAAGTTTTGTTGAATCGGGGAGGCCTACCAAGTACTGAAATTCAGGATATAGGACTTTCTAGTTGGATCTTCATAATGCTGAAGAATTCGATAATGTCATATTTCGCCAATAGAGCCATTTTCGAATAGTTTTAGTGGATATAAAGTGTTACAAATTTTATTTTCCATCTCGTTTTACTTCTATAATTTTTTTTTGTGATATACTTCTTATGTAATATCGTAGTTGTGGTTGAAATTTGTCAGATAAGTTGTAGAACACTCAGTACATTGAACAACAATACTCTGTGTCTCATACTTGGGCAATAAATATTGGAAACCATCAATATCAGGAAACAAGTTTGAATTGGGAATTTTCATCCTGTATTTCATTTAGAGATGAATTTTCGAAAACATCTCGAGTTAGTAGTCTAATATAAATAATGGATATCGAGAAGGCCGTTTCTGAATATACTGGATCGAATGGGCCATAGTTTTAGTCACCATTTTTGATTTTTTTCACGGAAATGAGATTTTGTCCTAGTTTCTTATCATCCTGTATAATCCAAAAAAGTGCTTTTTTCGTCTTTCATTATCCTCCATAAAACATGAGAATAGTTCTTCCCAATAGTCAGCTCAAGTGGAGTTCTAGAGAAAAAAATCAAGAAATGCAAGACTTTCGAAAAAAAAATCGAATTTTTGTTCCAATGGCCAATTAAGGAGAAATCACGAAAACGTCCCGAGATGAGGTCCCAGTGTATCATAATATGACTGACTTTTGATCAGAAAAAAATTTCTCGAGTTCTGGCAGCATTGGAAATGTAGACCATAGTGTAATGGTTCCACTTTACACCCTGTGTAAGTTCTGTTCTGCGGACTTTTTCAGAGTGTTCTAGCTCTCTTTGAAGCCGATGGAATATCACATCTGATATCAAAAACCGCATGAAGATCGGTCAATTTTTTCAAAAAATACAGGTCTTCGAAATTGAGTCAAATTATGAGTGGTCCATTTAGTGTGTTGAGAACTGTATATAATAGTAGGTATAGGTGGGTACAGAAAATTAAAAAAATAACAAAAAAAATATGTACAGCATAGCACAGAAATGTCTTATTGTTTTTTAAATGAGTACACCAACCATAGAATGCCGAGCAGGACAGCTAGTACCATATATAAGATTTCCAGACCCAAGGATGGATGAAGGATGGACATTAGGGATATTGAAAAATAGCAAATACATCCTCATATCACTTGCAGAAGTGTATCAAGAACAAGCAATGGAGCTCAGTTCAAGGATGTAGGGATCACTAATTTGATAAATCACCATAAGGGCACATGAAAATCCTCATGCCATAAAATCAGTTGGTACTTACCTATTAGTTCCGATAATCAACAAATGTCACATCACATCACACAATGAAAAACAGGGCCGACTAGATATTTCATTATTACTTCAATTAATATCCATAAATAGAATAAGTCATGAATAATATAAAATATCAATCTAGATTTTTGATAAAGAATTAACATGTTTTTTTTTCTCAACTACCCTTCTGTCAATTTCTATCCAACCAAACTGTACAAATAATCAATTCACATGAACCCAGTTGAAAGTAAAGAGTTATCAGCCAGGTTGAAATTGGAAATTCATTGGATTGATTTGGTTCATATTTTTTTATTAAACCCATCAGTGTTCCCTGCAAATTGAAGAGCATTTCTTATGGTATTTTGTCTGGTCTTTCTGAATCTGATGAAATGTTTCAAGAAAAGTGATCACAAAGTGAACTTTTTTGACTTAACAATAAAAAATTAATTTTTTACAAGTCTGGATCTGGGTTTTTCTTCATAATATGCCATCTTGAATAGTTTCAGTAAAGAAACATCTCTGCCAAATTCCAGAGCACTATGATGAATCATTTCTGGAATTTCTGTCACTAAAGTTATATGGCAAATACACATAATAACCCTGTATCTTCCTTATGGAGGGTAAAACAAATTTTTCATACATATGTATGTGAGTCTCCTGGTGAATCACCCTGTACAAGAAAAAAACTTCTATTCATGAAAAATAATAAATACCTTTCTACCTACCCAAGGGTTCATCAAATGAATTATATACAGGGTGTTTGGTTCACCAACCTATATCTGGAATGAGATGGTAGGTATAATGTGATTTGGGAGGTGATTTGGAACCATATAAACTATTACCTATGTACATACAGTTACAATTTTCTAGAAATCATCATTTATTTTGAAGTTGGGTGTTGACAGTTAACTGCTTTTTTAGAGGGAGAAACAACTCTTCAAATAGGTGTACACCATGGAATTTTAAGTACTTTGAGTATCATTTTTAATACATTAAGTACATATTTAATAAGCTTACAAGTCTTGTTTTAAGTACTTCAGCATTTAAAGTACCTATTAACAGTACCTTAAGTACCAGTTTCAAGTATTTTAAGTACTTTTTAATTGCCAGATATGTAAATATGGTGTACACATTTTGGGTAGTTGTTTCCTCTCTTGGCTTTTTTAAACTCTATAAGAATCCAGAACATTTTTTAAATCACATTTAGATTCCATTATGTGTTCAATAGAGATGAAATACCTATTAAAATGTTTGACAAAACTCTTTATTGTACCTTTATAGTGGATAAAACATATTGGCTGAAGGACTGAGGTAGATGACCACTTTTTTTCACATTCTGGTTCCCAGGAAAATGGATATCCTGTAATGTTCATCATATATTTGTTTACATTTACATAAATGATCAATAAAGTAGGTACCTACTTTATTATTATCATGTGTTCAGAATGTTCTTTCCTATCACCCCCTTTCAAATATATGACAGTGAACCTAACACCCTGTATAGTAATAATTTGTTCAAGTATTTGTATCTGATTCCTACCAGTGTTTTTGCGTCTTTCCAAATTTCCTTATAGCCATCACCAAGTAAACCTTTAGAAGAACATTCCTTCACTATAGTCTGTCTTTCCTCCTTTTCATACTCCTCAGAATGAAATCTTACATAAATTCTCTCTCCATCATGTCTTTTTACCCCAATGAATGGATATTTTGGCACTCTATAGGACAAATTATGTTTAGAATGTTGTATATGACTGTATGTGGTATTCTTGTTTATACCAGAGAGAAGATTGTGTTTCTCCTTATTCAATTCTCTCAGTCTGATTATTTGTTTCATAAGTACATGAAGTTCTTCTTCCTCACTGAGCTTTGGTTTCTTTGAAATTGGTTCATTTTCCCACAAAATATCATCACCTAAATCATTGATGTCACCAAATAGATCATCAACAGTTCTTTTTCTACTATCACTTGAATCTGCTTCAATGATTTGTTCTATATTCTGAGAAGAGGATACTTGAAAACTTGTATGAGGCTCATGAGAGATTTCAGAAACATTGAGAGTTGTTGATGATTGCAAGTTATCTGTGGTTGCAGGCAAAAGCAAGGGAAAATCATCATCAAAGCTGTTCACATTTTGTTGTCCATTTGAATCTGATTGTCTGGAAACATCTTTGGAGCTAGAGGGAGTTGAAAAATTCAGGCTCTTTCTGCTTTTAGAAGGTGGGTGGTAATCTATAATTAACAAATAGGTAGGTATATTGTTATGAACATTTTATCATACAAGTTTCACCTTCATCTTGTTCTCTCAACAATTCTAATTCATCACCATACATCAATTCAAATTCTTCATCTGGATCTGGATAATCACTCATTTTCGATTTTTTTATAATAATTTCATACCATAACAATTACTTTCAAAAATGATAATTGTTTTGATTAGTTTTCCCGCCATATAAAATGAACATAACCAAGCAAAATACTCTGACACTGACGTTGACATTTGTTATCTGCCGCTGTCAGGCCCGTCTTTAGGTCGCGAATCACGAATATGAAGCTAAAATTCAAACAACCATGACTCTCGGTGCAGATGGATTTTTGAGCCAATCAGAACGATTCTAACTATGGCGGGCGATTCCATCTAAATTCCATCCAAATTTCACCTGTTACTTCTAATCTTGGTTTCCTTCCTCAATTTATTCGAATAATCAAGCTGCTTGTTCAACTCAGCCTTTTCTCTAATCATGTGGACGTGGTAACAAGAAGTCAAGTCAGAGAATCGTTGAAATGATGTGTTGGTGTCCTAAAAATCGACACTACATTAACATTTTCATTCGAATAAAGTCATATATCCTTTTTGTGAGAGATATAAAATTCCCATATCACTGATACAAATGATTTTTTTGGAAGTTTCAAGCTCATCAAGATTAGAGTTTATACAAGTATTCTTCTCCTATACATTTCAATTTCCATTTCAATACTCTGAACATATTGGTAAGTTATATTTTTCATATCATAGCCAGGAAAGTAGTTGTTTTCTGTTGAATAAACCAAGACAGAATGGATATACAGGGTGTTTCCTAACTACGGTTCCTAACTCTGCAGGGGGTGATTTTTTAGGTCATTTTGAGAAGAAAAGTTCTTATGAACATATGTCCGGAGTTGCTTCGTTTCTGAGATACAGGGCGTTGAAATAAAAAAAAAAACGGTTATTATAAAATATCATGAATATCCTCTGGAACCGATTTGGTTGAAATTCGGTACTTTAATTTGTCAAATTCTCTAAAATTTCAGCACATCAAGTGTCAATTATATTTTTGGCGGAAATTATGAAAAACTCACTTCTCCAATGCAGGTGAGCATGATATGCAATACAGTGGCTTTAATTTTTTTCTCGAAAACGAAGCTGGATATGAAGAAAATACAGAAAACCAAAAAGTTGTATTTTGAGTTGCTTAATCTGAAATTGATAGAAATTCATCAAAAAAGTCAGTGGCGTACTTTTTTTACAATATTGTTGGCTATGGTGCCCACTGAGACGCCACTGGCAGCAATAATTTCAATCTAAATAGGACTAAATAGGCGCCTTATCAGTTCAAATGGAAGTACCAAATTTCAACCAAATCGTTTTCAGGATATTCATGATATTTTGTAGTTACCGTACAGACATATGTTAATAGGAACTTTCCTTCCTAAAATGTTCTAACAAATCACCACCTGCAGTTAGGAACCGTAGTTAGGAAACACCCTGTTTACAATTTTCATCACATAGAGAATGCGGATTCTCAATGCATTCATTTATACCCAGTAAACACAACACGTTTCAGAAACATTTCAAAAGTTCCCTAATACGTGTCATCTGAAACATTCCAATGTTAACATAAAGGAAACATTTCTGGAGTTCTCCATGCTATGTGAAATATTTCAGAAATATTTCAGAAATATGTCAATGCATACGTTTCATATTCGTTACAAAAACTCTTTGCTTGGAATGTCTCACGTGAATCTCTAGATGTGTCATCTGAAACATTCCAATGTTAACAGGAAGAAAACATTTCTGAAGCTCTCCATGCTATGTGAAATATTTCAGAAATATGTGAATAGATACGTTTCACATTCGTTACAAAAAATCTCTGCTTGAAATGTCTCACGTGAATCTCTAGACGCGTCATTTTGAAACATTTCAATGTTAACATAAAGGAAAAATTTCTGAGGCTCTCCATGCTATGTGAAATATTTTAGAAATATGTCACTACATACATTTCATATTCGTTACAAAAATTCTCTGCTTGAAATGTCTCACGTGAATCTCTAGACGTGTCATCTGAAACATCGCCATGTTTACGTATGTGAAATATTTCTCAGTTGTTATGCGTGACGTGAAACATCTCTGGAATGTTTAAATACATATGTTTACTATTTGTTCGAAATGCATCATATTCTACGTTGCCAGGTTCATGATTCCGTTTTATTGGCTATAATGAATCACATGCTTGAGTGTGACCAATGAAGACGGGTGGTTACTCTGGCAACATCGGCATAATATGACAGTCCGAACCAAGCACGGCCGGCTCCGACTTGCTCCGACTGTCCAGTCCGAGAAGAGAGTGGGTGAACACAAAGATGAAGCCATTCTTTGTTTTGTTATTCTAATTCCGGTGAAGCCATTTTTAGCATCCATTGATATTGCCTGATGGTGGTAGTGCTGATGTTAAAAGTTAATAATGACAACTACGAATATGAAAAAGGTGAGTGGGTTTACCTGTACATTCACTTAATATTCGATGCTTGATTGAATGGAATGAAAATCGGCTCAAAATTGAATACATAGAAGGTAGGGCGGTAGTGGCAAAAATAACCTCAACTTTTTTGTACATTGTTATGCCGGTCTCTTGATGTAAAAATATGAAATTTCAGGTTATTTTGCATAGAAAGGCGGTTAAAATTCAATAAATTCAAATAAATCTCAAAATTTTTTCAGGTGCTGTCAGCAAAAGGTTTGCTGTGACGGACGTGGAGTTCGAAAGATATGTAGCAGCCTGGTTCCGCCAATCTGGTCTCAGGTTAGCTAGAGATAGGGCAAATATGAAATGAAATGGTTTTTTATTATAATTCAATAAGTTTTCATAATATAAAATCCACTAATGCTGCAGTTTTATTTTATTCACCCTGCTTTTTCTCCATATACCTATATTAATACCAATTGACTACATTACACATGATGTTAATTAGGGTTCACTTTCATTATGAGTAAGTGATTAACTTCTGTGGTAATGTAGTCTTGGTATGAACTAAAAATGGTTTCATATTTGAAATGTTCCATTATCAGCGAAAGTGAGATGTATCGAAAATGTTTCAAAAAAGTCATGTTGGAAATGTTGCAAATAGTGCAATAAGGAAATGTTTCGAAGACACTATTTGTGAAACGTTTCATGAAATGCAATAGTGAAATATCTCAGAGATGTTTATGTATACTCTTTATTGAATGTTTCATGGAGATTTGGGTTGAAACATTCCAATGAAACATTACACACCCTAGGTCATTTATGGTCTCTAGAATGTCTCATAAATGTTTCGGAGTATATAGGTGAAATGTTTCATATTTCACAAAGTTTGTTTCAGGAACGTTTCAGAAACACAAAATGGTTTACTGGGTATATACAGGGATTTTCGAAATTCGACCAACAACGTTTCTCAGGAGGTAGCTCTCGTGATTTGGTGAATGATGAGGTAGGAACATGAGGGTCCCACGTAATTATAGTTATCGAGTAACAGAGGGTGTTGAAGTTGGAGAGAAAAAATTGTTTATTCGCAATAACTCGAAAACGGCTGATCTTCCTTCATTCAAATTCGGGAAGTAAATCAATATTCAGGATCTTCAATTCAAGACGGAAAATTCATGATCAACAATTCATCCAGTGGCGCTGTGAATAAGGGATATGATTGATTGATTTTGCATGTGGTATTATTGAAGGACATTTAATTTATATTGAAAAAGGCTCACTTGTTTGAACTCGATAGAACCCATCATTTCCGAGAAAAAACGAAAAATGTGATTAGTCCTCAAATTTGTTTACTCAAAATTGTTCAACATAAAACTACAAAAATATCAACCCAAAAGTATAGTAATAACTGTTCGAAGTTCTGGCCATTGACTTGTTGCCACATTGTGCAACGTCTTCTAATCGCAAAACGCATCCTAGGAAATAGTTTAATGCTTAGTTATAAGTTCCGTTGCAGCCTCGTTTCCTGCTACGAATTCCTTTTCAGTTTCAACGTTTCATCGATAATATCTTATAACTAGGATTTTCTCTTTCATCCAACAAAAAATCAATCGGATTCAGATCAGGTGACCTAGGGGGTCATACTTTTGGACCTCAAGTATGATCAAACGTCGAATCCATTTTCTCCAAAATGGTCACTTATTATAGTAACGCTCTTGCACCGTTGTCAAAATAGGCACCAGCACCATCATGTTGAAACCACATGTTCCTGCTGATATTTAGCGGAACATTTTCCAATGGTTCTGGAAGAACTTTCTGTAGGATCTCCTGTAGATTGATCCCTTTACTTTATTGCATTAGGTAGAATTAGTGATAACTAACCAGGTCATTTTCAGAATACCAGCAGACAAATTGATTGAATTCTTTTCATTTCATATGTGACTGTTCCTATTGAGAATTCCTGCCGTGGTGAATTTCTGAATTTTGCTTCGTCGGTGTATGATACCCAGCGAGCATAAAAACATCTCAGAGATGTTAAAAGTAGGAGATTTCGAGACATTGAATCTCCACTGCGATGTTCTGTTCACACATGAATAGAACTATTATAGAACAGCCAATGTCCGCCGCAGGCGGCAATTATCGAGATGTCCTTGATATGTCACAAAACTACCTTCTCCCTAGTTCTTTTTAAAGCCTTTTCATGGACACAACAAAACATTTTCAACGCGACTTGCGCACATTAAATCGCTGTAAAAAATCATTTTCGAGGTACTTTGATGAAGCCTTTTGTCATAATGAACTTTTGCATTAGGATTCCATTTCCCTTGAAAGAAAAAATGCATTAAATATAGATTGAACATAAAAATATTTTCTTGGTATGAAATTACCTTCTTAATCGGTTTCTGAGTAGTGCTTACTACACACAGACATATAATTGGAAATAGGTTTCCCAATTTTTGAAATGTTCTCCACAATGCATAATTTTGCAACTGCGGAGAAGCTGTGTATTGATGAATTCGTACTTTTATAAATTGATTACACTGAGGCACCGAACAACACATCTTGCATCTGATGGTCATTATTACAAACTAAATAAGTCTTCTAACACAATAAACTTCACCAAATTTCTTTCTGTTCGTTAGCAGCGTGATGTAAGCGTGACACGCTGCAAACGCGAATGCCAATTGCGAACAAGAAGAACAAAATCGAAAACAAATCAGAATACATCGTATT